GGAGGAGGAGGAGGAGGAGGAGGAGGAGGAGGAAGAAGAACATTCTAAGATCCATTTTATTTTTTATGTCACCATTATTGTACCTTTTGTAACAGAAGCTCAAAGTGACGTACTTATTGCTCCCTCCTCTTGTCACAACAATCATATGAGGTAGTTTGGCCTGAGGGAGAATGAATGGATTTCCCCGCTCCTCATCCAACATCTAGGCAATACAATAGTTCTGTTTCGCTGTCCTGCTCATGGAATTTGCCTAATCTGTTTTAAAGTCATCTGGGCTGATGGCCTTCAACTTATAACCAATGAATTCCCTACAGGAGTTATATGCAACATGGAAAATGTGTTTTTCCCCTTTTAAATTCAGTATAGGAAACATATAATTAAGCTCTGATCATGAGAGTCTGGGGACACTTTAACTATGTTTGGGTACTTACAAGAAGAACAGGAAAAAGGTCTATACCAGGGGTGTCAAATTCAAGGCCCGTGGATCGGATTTGGCCTGCAGGGTGTTTAAATCTGGTCTATGGGGCTGGCCTAGAAATATCAAAGGACCAGCCCGCGGTGCCTCTGCTGGTCAAAAGAGGCTGGTCATTTTTGGCCAGGAGGCCGGGGAGGCCGAAAACAGACCATGCAAGGGCTTTCTGGGGCCTTTGTATGGCCCATTTTCAGCCTGGAGAGCGCTGCAGGAGGCCAGGGCAGCCGAAAATGTGTTGCGGGGAGCCACATGCGCCCCAACCTCTGTTTTGGCTGGCAGGGTGCTGCAGGAGGCATCTGTCCCATCTCTCCACCACTTTCCCCCCTTCCAATCCACTGAGGGGAACTACAATGCTGATCTGGCCCTCAAAGAAATCCAGTTTGACACTCCTGGTCTACACCAAAGAACTAAGGGCTTTTGCTGAGTATGGTGTAAATACACCTCCCAGAACCAATGAGTGATTAATGTGTAGAATTGTGTCAGGAAGTTCCAGATACGATGATAATAACTGCCTAACACACTTTGTCAAGTTAATTAGGGAAACAAAAGAGAATTCTTTGTCTTCCAATGAGTCTACAACAATTTCCAGACTTCCGTAATTTTGAGTTACTCAGAGAAGGTAAGAAAATGTGATTTTTGTCTCCAGATTCCAAATTATTAGAAAAGATCTCAGTTTCATCTATTCTTGACCCACTGAAATGGCATGAGGTTTTGGGCCTTATAGATCTCATTAATTGGCATTATTCATAACGGGTGAATTCCATATGGTCATAGGTTCCTTCCAATTCACAGTAAACAACTTGATGTGTCCTGCTAAGACAGAGTTTTACAATCATAATTTATTGCTCAAAAGTCATGGTTGGTTTTCCACAACTTGCTAAAAATGAGACATGGTTTTAGCCCTTTTCCTTTGATGTTCTGAATGTTAGATAATTGGACAGCGGGCTCAATTATTTCTTCTCTTTTGGCCGAAGGGTAATAGTAAAAAGCACTGAAAGAGGAATTTAGCAAATGCCTTGCTGAGCCCCCAAATTCAGAGATTAGTGGAAGAAAGTAGAGGCAGTAGATGGCCCTGAGAAAACGAAGTTGTCAGCATTCCAACGAAACTCCCCATTTCATTCAGCACTCAGAAACAAAGTTCATCCAAGTAAGAATTTATTAGAGAAATCAGACTGGTGCATCTGGGCAAACCCGAATCTGAGAGTTCCGGGTTTTCCCTTTGTAATTGAAAATCAAAATCACATCCCCATATTTTATTCAGAAGCTTCCACGCTGCCAGAAGCAAACATTGTGTGAAGACTTAAAAGGCATCTAAGATGCTTCCATAGCAATCTGACTCATGGAAGTACATTGGTGTGGTTCTCTCTTAAAACATCCGCTTTCTTTTCAAAATATCCTACTGATCCTAGAGTTATCCTTTGCTGGTCTTTCCCAGAAATATCCATTTCCCCCCCCCTGTGTTTTAATCTCTGTGGATCTGTTGGTTTTTGTTGTTTGAATGTTTGAAAAAATCTGGGATTTTTTTTCATCCCTAAAATATTTGACTCTGGTTAGCTGGCTAGGGGTGGCATTGGGAGAGATGAGGAAGGTGAGGTAGAAGGAGACCTTTGATTTAGAACAGGGGGGGTCAAACTCACGTCACGGCAGCGTCACATGACATATCGGGACTTTTTCCCCCTTTGCTAAACTGGGTGGGGGTGGGGCCAGCATGTGACGCATCAGACCCATGGGCCGTGAGTTTGACACCCCTGTGTCAACTCATACAATATTTGCCAACAGAAAGGGAGGGGGAAGCAGTGGGAAGCTTGCATTCCATACATATTTTCAAAGATAGTGATTAGGTGACTGAAGTTTCTGGTGCACGTAATTCTAATTGGAGAATATGATTGATGACTCTTGGCTATGGATGTGTCCCATTGGAGAATATGAATTATGATACACCCAGGGGGGTGGGGGGAAACCAGGGTCAAGGGTGACAATGAATTATGTGTCTCAGAGTTGGCTACACCCAGGCAGTGCCGGACATGTAAATTCCCAATAAATCTTTTTGGAGTTTGGCTAGAGACTCGTGATTTAAATGGGGTTAAGTGTCGAAATCCTGACAGCCTGATTTAGAAGATAATGCAGTTGTTTTCTAAATCAAAAGGGGAAAGGAAGGCCAAAGGAAGTCCAAGATGTTGGGAATGTAAGTCACCTAACAGCTATTTGGGTTGGAAATATATAAACCAGGACAGACATTTTAATACTGTATTTATAAGAGAGTCCTGGAGGTGTAATTGGGTATGATTTCTCAAACGGCCATAAGATGGAGCCAGAAACCTGGGTTGTCTTAGTCTTAATCTCAGAAGAGAGTGTGTCTCAGTGAGTCTGTTTTTCCTTCTGTTGGAAAGTATTGCTGTTCCTCCATTTTTCCTAATTGACTGTTATTCATGGATTTGATGTAAGTCTGTTACTGAACTGTTTTTGACACTGGACTTTGTTATTGGATTATTCCTGGATTGGAAACTGACTGATTTAACCTGTGAATGACTTTGGACTGCTTGTTTTTGAACTTTGCCTAAAACCTTTATTGAAAGTAAAAAGACCTACATTTACTGTACAGTGTATCTGTGTGCTGTGTGTGTATTATTCAAACACTACTCTCAAATACGTCTCCCTGTAGGCGCTAATTCTCCTCACGGGGAATTACCTGAACAAAAGACACCCATGACACTGGTGTGCATGGAGAAACACAAAGAACGGAGGAGTGCTGAAGGTAGTCCGAAAATCTTCAGTATGATGACCCCTTTGGTCCATCATCTCATGGATGGAGGCGAAGCTGTCCATTCCACTTATCGATCAAGAACCAAGCATGAACCTTCTCTCTAGCAAAATTTGCTTTAGGAAAAGTGAAGAGTTCAGCATTCGTGTCGCCATCAAAGAATGCTATGAGGCCTTGTGAATAATCCAGAGAAACTCGGATCCTTTTCGGAGGATGGCACACTGTCAAATTTGTTCTGGGATGGGTGATCGCGTCATACCGTCCCCCATGTCCCTGGATTCCCCAGTAGCCCCCATTATTATCGTAATGAATCGGCGAGTTTCTTTTTGAAGATTCCCTTACAATTCCCACCCCCCACCACTCCCCTCCCTCCACCACCTCTACCACCCAGCATATCTTCCCAGAGTTGAAGCTCTGATGGCTTATGACACAGGACATAGCGTCGAATCTCAGAGGACTGGCATTCACATGCTGTTGCATGCCTTTCCATCTCACACTTTTCAAATCAGCAGATACGTAGAGGTTGGGACTAGCTGTGTTTGGATCCAGAGTCAGATGCGCTGTGTGGAAGAAAGAAAAGTTGCTGAGGGAGAAGGAATTGCCAACTTTCTCATGCCACCTGGTTTATTTAATTAATAAGAAATATTGTAACTGGTGGTCAAGTTATGCTAAAATTATATCTTCTAAAAGGCGAAGAGGCTTGCTCACCCAACTGGTAGCTCTATCTTTTTCAAAAAAAATAATAAAATAAAATAAAAGCCCTATTCCAATGATGGGGAAAAAATAAGTTAGTTTCTTTAATCCCTGGAAAACCTGGAGGCGAATACTCAAGAAAAGTAAGTTGGCTTAAAAAAAAATATCTTAGCTAATTATTAGATGAAGGCTTTCTAACTGGGAGCCCTGGGAGCAAAGTAAATTTAGCCAAGAAATTATAGACAATTACATCCAAGAGTTTAATTTCAATATAATTTCAAATCATAGTTGTTCTTTGCTGCCTCTGCCTCTGATTCTGCTTCCTCCTCAGAGCCTTTCAAACATGACAATAATTTCATATCAAAACTGTTAACTTAATAATTAATATTAATACAAATTATGTATCCTGGTTATTCCAAATTCCTATATGTTGTTTTTATATCAATCTCTATATTCTTAAGATCACTTTTGATTATGAATATATATGACTAGTTGTATTTGCAGTGTTTAACAAATTATATATAACCATTCATAAATTCATGTTAATTTATATTCCCTCTTGGTTATCCCCTTTTTAGTTCTTAGCTGTGCCACTAGCATGTTTAAAACAAAGTCCCTTTTGTTAGGAATGTAAGTCACCTAACAGTTGAGTTGGAAAACATATAAACCAGGATAGACATTTTAATACTGTCTCTTTAAGGGAATGCTATAAATTGTATTTGGGTGTGGTTCCTCAAACGGCCATAAGATGAAGCCAGTAACCTGGGTTGTTTTGTCCTGTTGTTGAGAGTGTTGCTGTTCCTGCATTTTTCCTTATTGACTGTTACTGATCGTCGTTATTCTTGGATTTGATGTGAGTCTATTTACTGAACTGTTTTTGATACTGGACTTTGTTATTGGATTATCCCTGGACTGAAAACTGACTGCTTTAACCGTGAATGACTTGGACTATTTTGTTGAACTTCGCTTAGCTGTTTACTGGAAGTAAAAAACTACATTTTTACTATACAGTGTATCTGTGTGCTGGTTGTGTGCTATTCTTCACCACTCTCACTACATCTCCCTGTGTGTGCTCATTCTCCTAACGGGGAATTACCTAAACACTGGTTATGGGCCCAGGCCATACCTGGCTCAGATAACTGAGAGTTAGTGTGAATACACAGTATTGTATACAGACAGCTCTTTACTGTAATTGTGGTTTACTGTCCTGGTAAAGATGGCACAAGACACTTGAACAAGTCTATCACTGATAACCCGGTTGTATGGAACAAACTATATATCCTGGTCTATGAAGTGCAGTCTACTTCTGCGTAAAGAAGGTTTATGGAATGTAGTTCAAGACCCACCGGATGTAAATGCTTGGGATCCAGAAAATGAGGATGATGCCAAGAAACTTGCTGACTTTAAACAGAACAATGAACGAGCTCTTTGTATAATTGGACTAACACTGAGTGACCAGCAGCTTGTCCATATTCGTGGAAAGAGTCTGCTGCTAGGTGTTGGGAGAATTTGAAGAGGATTTATGTTCCTGACAGTGTAGGTGCACACATACATCTTACATGTAAACTGTTTAGAGCACGTCTTCTGAAAGGTGGAGATATGTTAGCTCATTTGAACTTCATGAAAAGAACTTTTCAAGAGCTACATGAAAAGGAACTGATATTTTCAGAGCTGCATCAAGTTTACATCATTCTTTCCTCATTGGATGAAAGTTATGATGATTACATATCTTCACTGCCCAGAGATAAACCGACATTGACTGACAGAACTGGAAGGTTGTTAGAAGAGGCAAGAAAACGGCTGGATAGGGACCAACTGAGGAAAGAATAACCACAAGAGGAGGATTTGTGTTCAACTGCCTATACTGTTAGGAAATGTTTTTCTTGTGGGGCTAGGGGACATATAGCTAGATTCTGTAAGAAGGGAAAACGACAAGATACTGGTAATCACCAGAAGGCAAAGAAGAATGTTAATTTAGCTATGTCTAGCAATTCAACTGTAAACCATGATTTGTGGGTTGTTGATAGTGGAGCATCGCAGTGCATTACCAAAGATAGAGAGAGGTTTGTAAAGATGTCTATGAGTAAGCAACATGTATCATTGGCAAATGGATGGAAGATGATAGCAGTGTATCTGTGTGCTGGTTGTGTGTTATTCTTCACCACTCTCACTACATCTCCCTGTGTGTGCTCATTCTCCTAACAGGGAATTACCTAACAGGGAATTACCTCAACACCTTTCTAATCTCATTTTAGTACAAACAAAATAATATTCATCCTATTTACATTTAGCAAATTATTCTAGCAATAATATGATCACATTTAACTAATAGCCTATTTGGGAAGCCAGATTCATTCAACAACGATGGCAAGAAAGTTCGTAAAATGGGGCAAAACTCACTTAAGAAATGTCTCACTTAAGAGCAGAAATTTTGGGCTCCATTGTGGTCATAAGTCAAGGGCTACCTGTTTATGAACTTTTATGCTGCATCTCTTTGAAAGTGGAGATGGAAAGCATCCCATTTTAGTGTATGCTGGAAAAGGCAGGCCTTACCTGTTACACTGTCCTTAGCTGATCCGCAAGGAATACAATTCTTGACGCAGCTGGGGATTGGCTTCAATAGATGATTCGGAAGACCGGCATTCTGTGAACCTTAAGAAATAAGTCAACTTTAGAGCCTGGATGCCATCCAAGATCATTTATCCTGGTTCACAAAACAAACGCCTCCACTAAATAGAAAACATTGGAATCTTGTAGGTTTTGTTGTTGGTTTAAAGAGTTATTTTAAAAATAAAAGCCCTATGAATAAGAGCAAAACATTGCAAACTACATTTGTCTAGGATTGTTATTATGATTAATCTTCAATCAGTGGTGGGATTCAAATTCTTTTACTACCGGTTCTGTGGGTGTGGCTTGGTGGGCGTGGTGTGGCTTGGTGGGTGTGGCTTGGTGGGCGTGGCAGGGAAAGGATACTGCAAAATCCCCATTCCCTTCCCACCCCACTAACCTGCTTTCCAGCTCTGTTCTCCTGTGCCAATCAGCTGGGACCCAGGAGGCAGAGAACAGATGCCAGTCAGAGGTGGTATTTGCCAGTTCCCTGAACTACTCAAAATTTCCTCTACCTGTTCTCCAGAACTGATCGGAAACTGCTGAATACCACCTCTGTCTTCAATTTGATTCACAAATTGGCTCAAAAACTGGCTCTGTTGTAAGTGGGCTGGATGGCTGTATGAGAATATATATGTATATTCACTCGGACTGATGGATTGCATATTGAGAGTCTATTCAGATCTGTGCAGTTGCATTTCAGCAAATGGGGTGGGAAAAACATAAAGTGCTGTGATGTTCTCGCTATATTTTCTGATCATCCAGTATATCTTAGAACATTCATTGGAGTACATGCAGGTAGCCATCAACATATGACTGCAGTTGAGCCCAAATTTTGGTGTTGGGTCAATGAGGTCATTAAATGGGTCATCATATGATTGTGCCTGATTTCATGATTTTTGTGTGTGTGCTGCAACCATGAAGACAATAGACATTTTTTTTCTGGAAACTGGAAGTAAATGCGAATTTCCAACCAATAACGTCTTAAATGGTGGTCACCTGACCACAGGATCTTGCAAAAAGCCATAAAGGTGGGCCAGTTGCCAAGCGCCCAAATCCAACCACATGACTTGGGGGGAAGGGGCTGTCCAAACTTCAAAACGGTCGTAAATAGCTCCAGGAAGGTCTGTCATAGCAATGAATGATCACCAACCAAGTGGTCATAAGTCAAGGGCTACCTGTATTGAGGGCAAATTGTGCTACTGTGCTAAAAATATTACCTGAGTAGTAGAAATAATCTTAAACCATCATTATGGCAGCGTTCCAACTAACCAACTCCAAACCAATAAACTCCAAGACAAATATTTCCTCAAAGGTCCATTTTATTACAGTGTCATATTGGCACATCTGGGAAAAGCCGAATCTGAGAGTTCTGGGTTTTCCCTTTCCCCCAAAAAATTAAAGATCCATCCCCTGCATCCATCAGTCCATCACATGGCCCAATCATTTCTTCGTCCCAACTGGAGACATCCCTCCACTCACTCCCCTCCAGGTGCAGGGCAACAGGTCCTTGACTCTCTGAGAAAGAATGTTGTTGTGTCTAATCTTCTACCCCGCCATGAAATACCCCCTCCCAAATTCCCAGGCACTGAATGTGGCAGCCTCAAAGCATCCAAGAGAAAAATGGCTTCCAAGGCTGACACATTGTTTATCTGCATCATTCCTGTTTAGCAGATGAGTTGTACTTATAGCACTTAGACTTATATACCATTTCACAGTGCTTTACAGCCCTCTCTAAGCGGTTTACAGAGTCACCCTATTGCCCCACAACAATCTGGGTCCTCATTTTACCCACCTTAGAAGGATGGAAGGCTGAGCCAGTCAGGATCGAACTTACGGCAGTGAGCAGAGCCAGCCTGAAATACTGCCTTCTAACCACTGTGCCACCACATCTATATGGTAGCAGGAGAGAACGATGACAGGTTGAAGGAACAAAGCAGAACATTTCTTACCTGGAAGAATGAGAACAATCAAAAGCACAGCCAGGACCACATTTCCTACAGTCGAAAGGCCAAACAAAATTTTCCACAGGAGAAGGTTCCTCGGAGGATCTGGGATTAGAAGGGAATTGTGAAGTTCATCATCCGTTCCTTAATTTACATCAAGTATTGTAACTTAAACATCGATTCCCAATGGAAAGGTGGGTAGGTGACTGAAAGGTAGGTGACTGAACGCCCAGGCGTAGGAAGACATATAAACGACCCCACAAAAAAGGTGCCAGATTTTGAACTATCCCCTCAGCTATGGACAATCCTGAATAGGATTTACACCTCACATGGCGTCTGCCGGGACTCTCTGTATAAATGGGGTGCAGTATTCTCCCCTCAGTGTGACTGCGGGGACCCACATCAAACTCTAGATCACATCGTGACCAGCTGTAAGCTGATCCAGTATCTTATTTTTAAAAAAATATAAACGATGCTGTGTTTCAATGGTTCAATGGCCTCGACCAGGAGTCCCCAAACGTGGCAATTTGAAGACTTGTGGACTTCAACTCCCAGAATGCTGGGAATTGAAGCTCACAAGTCTTCAAGTTGCCAATTTGGAGTCCTCTGGCCTAGATATTGGTATTTAAACTTTTGATGTTTCTTATGTGTAGAATTAAAATACAACATAGGGCTGAGCTCTTTCTATTAGGAATTAACATTAGGAAATATGATAAAGAAAATATGTACTTAATGATCCATGTAATTACGGCAGCAAGGTTGGCATATGCAACGAATTGGAAAAATAAAGATATTCCAAATGAATCGGAAATATTGAGGAAAATTACAATATGCGCAGAAATGGATAAATTAAAAAAAAGAACTAAAAAAATAAGGAGGATTCGGAATATTATAAAACATGGGATAAATTTTCTGGTTGGCTAGAGACGAGGAAGATCTATGAGAACAAGGAATGACTATATGTATATTTAAAGTGCATAGATGGAAATTATGTAATATTACTGAATTTAGCAAAGTAAAGACAATGATTGATGTTAGGAAAACTGTACCATGTTCAACCTTTTTAATGTAAAAAGGTTGTTTGTTTATTTGTTTAATAAAGAAAAACTTTAAAAAAAACCCTTCTGACATTTCTTCTTCATCATCATCATCACCACCATTTTAGCCATTGTCTATCCACCGCAGGACCAAAGCCTCTTCCGCATGCTTCCAACCAATATGGTCCTGAGTTTTCTTTTGCCAATTGGGCCCGCAATACTTGCTGATCTCATTGATCCATCTTCTTTTAGGTCTCTTTCGTGGATGCTTTTTATCAAGTGGGATCCATTCTGTGACTGCCTTGGTCCACCTGTCATCAGTCTGTCTTGCTATGGGACCAGCCCATTTCCATTTCATTTCTTTTACTCTCTTGATGGCATCGTATGCTTCCGTTTGTTCTCTAGTCCATGTGCAAGTCTTTCTATCTTGTCTTGTGATGATGAGCATGTATCTTTCCGTGGCTCTTTGTGCCACTCCTAGCCTTTGTATCGATTGTGAGATTAGCATCCATGTTTTTCCGGCATTAGTTGGAGCAGGTAGTACACACTGATCGAAAACATTTCTCTTCAGGCATAGGGGGAGGCTGTTTTTGAAAATTATGCTTAGCTTGGCAAATGCCTGCCAATCACATTTAACACTCCATTGCATCATCTTCCATTGAGATGCATTAGCCAAAGTATGACATTTTGATATTAATATTGTATTATGTTTTACTAGCCCAGGTGAAATGTTAATATATATGGCTAGCCCATGTATGATATGCCATAAATAAATTAGATATTGTAACATAAAAGTTCTTGAGCAGGTTGAAATCCACCTGAACCCACAGGAATTTACTTCTTGACTATGGGCTGATCATATTCCCTCTCTCAGCCCAGTCTACCTTAAAGGGATATTTCAGTTGCGGGGGGGGGAAACTGGCAGGGGTGCTGTGTACACTGTTGTGTGTACCTGGAAGCATGAAGTGAGTAAGGCAACAATAACAAAACACTACTACCATTCATCCAGAGAAGCTTTTTCTTTAAAAAAAATTGCAACCAAGCTTCCCAACTCAGCGTTAAATAGCTTACTTGTTTACACATATTTTGGAAAAGCTTTATGTGACATATGAGCCAGTGATAAGAGAGTGACAAAAATTAGATCTCAGGGGCACAAAGAGTGACCTGTGGTTCTTGGCTTGGAGTGTGGGAGGATAATTTTACAGAGCATAGAATGATTCCAGAGAGGGGGACGTTTTGCTTCGTTACCCATGGCCCGGACCTTACTGTCCTGAGTTCAGATTCTACAAAGTTGAGGTATTGTAGACAGATGCAGCTTCTCAAAGAAAATTAAGGGGATGAGGTATGAGTGCTTTCGATCTTTCCTAGGAGAGATATCTTCTAATCTAGGGCATGGCCAAATGGCTCTGTTCACCTGCACGCACCTGTCCTTCTGCTAGCCTAAAATTTGCTGTCCAGATTTCCAAGCCCCAGGAATGAGACAGGTGGAGGGGTCTGTCCTTAAAGTGTTAAGGAGAGACCAGCAATGGAAGACGATTGGTGGATTCCCCCAGCTGTATTTCTCTTTGTCACAAGGCTGACACTGGGTGTCCGCAATAAAAATAGCTGCAGCCCTTTACAATATAAAAGTAGTCCTCGACTTACGGCCACAATCGAGCCCAACATTTCTGTTGTTAAGCAAGACATTTGTTAAGTGAATTTGGCCCCATTTTATGACCTTTGTTGCCACAATTCTTAAATGTTAAAAACTGCAGTTGTTAAGTGAATCTGGCTTCCCCATAGACTTTGCTTGTCAGGTCATCCAGGGGGAATCACGTGACCCTGGAGCTCTGCCACCGTCATAAATATGAGCCAGTTGCCAAGCATCCGAATTTTGATCACATGACCAGGGGGATGCTGTGACAGTTTTTAAGTGTGAAAAATGGTCATAAGTCACTTTTTTTTCAGTGCCACTGTAACTTTGAATGGTCACTAAGCAAACTGCTGTAAGTTGAGGACTACCTATAAAGGCAGATGAAAAAACCCTAACCCTAACCATCTGCCCTACAGGAGAAAGCAAACCCACCCTAAGAAGACACCACACAAATATTGGAACAGAGGTGAATCTGCTGGAATTTCCCACTCAGAGCTTCTCTCCAGCCAGCGCCAGCAAAGTCCATCATGGGACACAGTAACTTCATTTTCCACTCACATGGAGGAAGACAAATTAGACTATTACAAATGTGGGAGAAGTCAATTATGTTCTTGATATGCATTCTTCCCTACAATCTGCTATTTTTAAAAAGTATAGTAGAAATGACCAGAAAAAGAAACTAACTTTTTTGCAAGTTTCTCTTCCTCCCACATAGATGAAATTATAATCTCAAAGAAAACAAGTTTATCTTGAGAGATCTATGGTCATAGGGATGTGAATCTGTATTCCTTTTCTTCCACTTTTCTTTACTTTCTTTTTCATCTAAGATTACTGGATCATTAGGTGATAGAGAAAGAGGAAAACAATACTGTAGATAATTTGATGGGGCAAGAATGGGATTACTTGATTTCTCTGAAGCACATTTTCCAAAACAAGAAACCAAACACTTTATACAGTGCTGTGCCAGGAAGAGAAGGAAACTTAATATCGGAAATTCATTCTGTAAAAACTTCCACTGGCATGACAAGTTGTCATACGATTTTATTTATTTTTATTTTTTTATTTATTTGATTTGCCAATTGTTTACAAGATAATAAGTATAAGTGTATACATAGTTGTGAATACATGAAATGGGTACATATAAGAAAAATAAAAGAAGAATAAGAAACAATAGGACAGGGACGGTAGGCACGTTGGTGCGCTTATGCACGCCCCTTACAGACCTCTTAGGAAAGGAGTGAGGTCAATAGTAGACAGTCTAAGGTTAAAGTTTTTGGGGTTTGGGGAAGAAACTACAGAGTCGGGTAGAGTATTCCAGACATTGACCACTCTGGTGCTGAAGTCGTATTTCCTGCAATCAAGTTTGGTGCGGTTAACTTTGAGTTTGTATCTATTGTGTGCTCTTGTGTTGTTATGGTTGAAGCTGAAGTATTCATTGACAGGTAGGACATTGCAATGTATGATTTTATATACCATGCTTAAATCAGACCGAAGACGGCGTAATTCAAGGTTTTCTAGTTCTAGAATTTCAAGTCTGGTGGCATAAGGTATTATACAACGAGTAGAGGAGTGGAGAACTCTTCTTGTGAAATATTTCTGGACTTTCTCAATTGTGCTAATATCAGATACGTAATGTGGGTTCCAGACTGATGAACTGTATTCGAGTATTGGTCTAGCAAATGTTTTGTATGCTCTGGTTAGTAGTGTGATATTACCAGAGAAAAAGCTACGTAGGATTAGGTTAACAACTCTTAATGCCTTTTTGGCTATGTAGTTGCAGTGGGCTCTAGCACTTAGATCATTAGAGGTGAGTATTCCAAGGTCCTTTACAGAGCTTGGGTCATCAACAAGATCTTGACTATTCAGCTTGTATTTTATTTTCTGATTTTTTTTTTGCCAATATGTAAGACAGAGCATTTATTTGTTGAGATTTGAAGTTGCCATTTGTTTGACCATTCTGATACATAGTCAAGATCTTTTTGTAGGGTAGCAGTATTGTCTGTGGTATTGAACAGCTTTACATCATCAGCGAAAAGAACGCAATTGCTCTTAATATGATCACAGAGGTCATTTATGTAGAGTATGAAGAGAGTTGGTCCTAGAACACTGCCCTGGGGGACACCACTATTGACAGGTACAGAATTTGATAGGACGCTCCCAATTTTGACCATTTGTTGTCTGTTTGCCAGGAATGCTTCTATCCAGTTATTCAGTTGTCCAGAGATACCATAGGATTTTATTTTTAGGAGTAGTTTGTCGTGTACCACTGAATCAAAGGCTTTACAGAAGTCTATGTAGATTGCGTCTATTGCTTTGCCCTGGTATGACATAGAATAGAATACTTTTATTGGCCAAGTGTGATTTGACACACAAGGAATTTGTCTTGGTGTAAATACTCTCAGTATACATAAAGAAAAGATATGAATCAAGAATCATAACGTACAATATTTAATGATAGTCATAGGGTACAATCAATAATCAAATCATACTAGGAAACAGTCAAATTGTTTGCCAAAGCACCAGAGGGCAGAACAAGAAATAATGGTTGGAAACTAATCAAAGAGCAACCTGGAATTAAGGAGAAACTTCCTAACAGTGAGGACAATTAACCAGTGGAACAGCTTGCCTCCAGAAATCATAGGTACTGCAACACTGGAGGTTTTTAAGAAGAGACTGGACAGTCACTTGTCTGAGGTGGTATAGGAGGTTCTCCTGCTTGAGCAGGGGGCTGGACTAGAAGACCTCCAAGGTCCCTTTCCAGCTCTATTCTATTCTATTCAATCTGAGGGGCTGTCAAGAGAAGAGGGGATCGACCTATTCCCCAATGCACCTGAGGGGAAATAACAGATGGAAGCTTATCAGAGAGAGATCCATCCCAGAATTAAGGAGAAATTTCCTGTCAGAACAATTTAATTAGCAGAACAAACGTTGTGGGAAGAGATTGAAGAGCCATTTCTCTGTCATTGTATAGGATCTTCTGCTTAAGCAGGAAGTGGATTAGAAAACCTCCAGGTTCCATTCCAACTCAGACATTCTGTAATTCTGTAAACTTTAAAAATGGTTTTTATCTTTCCAGAATTTTGTCCCATTGTACGAAATGAGATTTATTGCCATTTTTAAAAGCTCAGTTGTTTATCCTGCCAGCCAGTCAACCTCTCTATTTTAGTCTCTAGCTTCTAGATATAATTTATACATTTATTTAATATCCTGCCTTTATTATTTTTATAAACAACTCAAGGAGGAGAACATATGTAATACTCCTTCTTCCTCCTATTTTCCCCCCAACCACAACTCTGTATGGTGAGTTAGGCTGAGAGAAAGTGACCAGCCCAAAATCCCCCAGCTGGTTTTTATGGCTAAGGCAGAACTAGAATTCATTGTTTCTGGTTCCTGGTCTGCTGCCTTAACCACTAGACCAAACACTCCCTCCCTCTCCCTCCCTCGCATAATTGCTAGATATACAGAAAGAATTTAAAGCAAAAGACATGTAGATAATCAAGGAAAGTGTTCTCTGTTAAACAAAAATGACATTTAAGAAATGTAATTCCCCCTCCCCCCAGGAACAATAGGGACTAGATTCACTTTCACCCTTTTCTACACTTTCCCTTTTAAAAAAATCCTTAGTGCCAATATGCAGAGTAAAAAAAAGAAAAATAAGTAGCTGTAAGATATTACCTTTCTTTCCTTTAATGGCTGGCAAGGGATGGTCTCTCTTACTTGGATCTATACTCATATATCCATCTTCATCCATCTTTTAGAACTTTTGGGTTTGTTTGTTTTTTGCTGGTAGCAAGTTTTATAGTCTTCGCAAGAGGAAGTGATGGTTCTTTGAGGTTCTTCAAACAGCCAGTCTGATACAATTGTGTAACTGGTTTTACAAAACCAGCCTCCAAGTCAGTAAACAATTTTTGCCCAAGTGGGATAGAAGACCAGCTTATTCCTTAGTTACAATCATCAGGAGTGAATTGGTGCTTGAAGTTGCCCATAGGATAGTTAGCTGAGAGGTGCTTTTAGCCGGATTCAGACATGGAGGTAGCCATTTCTGCTCTTTACTTCTCATCCTGTTTCTGTAAGCTCAGTTGCAGGTGTTTACCGCAACTCTTGAGGAAGAAGTCAGGTGTCTGGATTGGGAAAGTAGTTGGAAGGAGTTGTGGGTGGCACATCTCCTATGCAACAGAATGAATCATCCCAGGATATGGTGATGAGCCCCTAATGACTCACAACTACATTGTTGAAGAAGGTGCATTAAGATAACAGGTTTTACACAACTTTGGAGCCCCTTTGCAGGCAATCAGTCTCTCCTTCCATTGGAAAGGAGTGTCAATATTTCATTGGGAACTAAATGTTTGGGTTTCATTTGTTTCTATCTCTCCAAGTTGCACACCAACTCTGAAGGCCAAGTTTTAAATAAGAACGAAGAACAAAATGATTGATTTTTTTTGTTTATCCTGGTTCCACATAGTTACCTATGTCCCCCCATATCGTTAGTCCACTCCGGGGGGGGGGAGGGGGAGGAGGAAGATGGAAGATGGAAGAAGAAGGAAGAAGGAAGAAGGAAGAAGGAGAAGGAGAAGAAGAAACGGAAATCACCAGCAATGATATAGTTTAGCAGTTGATCTCCCAAAGAGGCCATTAGGGGGTGGCTCATGAACTAACATTCTAAGATCCATTTTACTATTTATGTCACCGTTATTGTGCCTTTTGTAACAGAAGCTCAAAGTGACCTACTTATTCCTCTCTTCTCCTGTCACAACAATCCTATGAGGTAGTTTGGCCTGAGGGAGAATGAATGGATTTCCCCGCTCCTCATCCAACATCTAGGCAATACAATAGTTCTGTTTCGCTGTCCTGCTCATGGAATTTGCCTAATCTGTTTTAAAGTCATCTGGGCTGATGGCCTTCAACTTATAACCAATGAATTCCCTACAGGAGTTATATGCAACATGGAAAATGTGTGCCTCTGCTGGTCAAAAGAGGTTGGTCATTTTTGTCCAGGAGGCTGGGGAGGCCGAAAACGGACCATGCAGGGGCTTTCTGGGGCCCTTGTATGGCCAATTTTCAGCCTGGAGAGCACTGCAGGAGGCCAGGGCGGCCGAAAATGTGTTGCGGGGAGCCACGTGCGCCCTAACCTCTGTTTTGGCTGGCAGGGTGCTGCAGGAGGCATCTGTCCCATCTCTCCACCACTTTCCCCCCTTCCAATCCACTGAGGGGAACTACAATGCTGATCTGGCCCTCAAAGAAATCCAGTTTGACACTCCTGGTCTACACCAAAGAACTAAGGGCTTTTGCTGAGTATGGTGTAAATACACCTCCCAGAACCAATGAGTGATTAATGTGTAGAATTGTGTCAGGAAGTTCCAGATATGATGATAATAACTGCCTAACACACTTTGTCAAGTTAATTAGGGAAACAAAAGAGAATTCTTTGTCTTCCAATGAGTCTACAACAATTTCCAGACTTTCCTAATTTTGGGTTGCTCAGAGAAGATAAGAAAAAGTGATTTTTGTCTCCAGATTCCAAATTATTAGAAAAGATCTCAGTTTCATCTATTCTTGACCCACTGAAATGGCATGAGGTTTTGGGCCTTATAGATCTCATTAATTGGCATTATTCATAACGGGTGAATTCCATATGGTCATAGGTTCCTTCCAATTCACAGTAAACAACTTGATGTGTCCTGCTAAGACAGAGTTTTACAATCATAATTTATTGCTCAAAACTCATGGTTGGTTTTCCACAACTTGCTAAAAATGAGACATGGTTTTAGCCCTTTTCCTTTGATGTTCTGAATGTTAGATAATTGGACAGCGGGCTCAATTATTTCTTCTCTTTTGGCCGAAGGGTAATAGTAAAAAGCACTGAAAGAGGAATTTAGAAAATGCCTTGCTGAGCCCCCAAATTCAGAGATTAGTGGAAGAAAGTAGAGGCAGTAGATGGCCCTGAGAAAACGAAGTTGTCAGCATTCCAACGAAACTCCCCATTTCATTCAGCACTCAGAAACAAAGTTCATCCAGGTAAGAATTTATTAGAGAAATCAGACTGGTGCATCTGGGCAAACCCGAATCTGAGAGTTCCGGGTTTTCCCTTTGTAATTGAAAATCAAAATCACATCCCCATATTTTATTCAGAAGCTTCCACGCTGCCAGAAGCAAACATTGTGTGAAGACTTAAAAGGCATCTAAGATGCTTCCATAGCAATCTGACTCATGGAAGTACATTGGTGTGGTTCTCTCTTAAAACATCCGCTTTCTTTTCAAAATATCCTACTGATCCTAGAGTTATCCTTTGCTGGTCTTTCCCAGAAATATCCATTTCCCCCCCCCTGTGTTTTAATCTCTGTGGATCTGTTGATTTTTGTTGTTTGAATGTTTGAAAAAATCTGGGATTTTTTTTCATCCCTAAAATATTTGACTCTGGTTAGCTGGCTAGGGGTGGCATTGGGAGAGATGAGGAAGGTAAGGTAGTAGGAGACCTTTGATTTAGAACAGGGGGGTCAAACTCACGTCACGGCAGCATCACATGACATATCGGGACTTTTTTCCCCTTTGCTAAACTGGGTGGGGGTGGGGCCAGCATGTGACGCATCAGACCCATGGGCCGTGAGTTTGACACCCCTGTGTCAACTCATATTCTATTTCTGTGAGTTGCCAACAAAATGGGACGGGGAAGCAGTGGGCAGCTTGCACTCCATACATATTTTCAAAGATAGTAACTAGGTGACTGAAGTTTCTGGCGCACGTAATTCTAACTGGAGAACATGATTGATGACTCTTGGCTATGGTTGTGTCCCATTGGAGAATATGAATTATGATACACCCAGGGGGTGGGGGGAAACCAGGGTCAAGGGTGACAATGAATTATGTGTCTCAGAGTTGGCTACACCCAGGCAGTGCCGGACATGTTAATTCCCAATAAATCTTTTTGGAGTTTGGCTAGAGACTCGTGATTTAAATGGGGTTAAGTGTCGAAATCCTGACAGCCTGATTTAGAAGATAACGCAGTTGTCTTCTAAATCAAAAGGGGAAAGGAAGTTCAAAGGAAATCAAAGACACCCATGACAATGGTGTGCATGGAGAAACACAAAGAATGGAGGAGTGCTGAAGGTAGTCTGAAAATCTTCAGTATGATGACCCCTTTGCTCCACCATCTCATGGATGGAGGAGAAGCTGTCCATTCCACTTATAGATCACGAACCAAGCGTGAATCTTCTCTCCAGCAAAATTTGCTTTAGGAAAAGTGAAGAGTTCAGCATTCGTGTCGCCATCAAAGAATGCTATGAGGCCTTGTGAATAGTCCAGAGAAACTTGGATCCTTTTCGGCGAATGACTCAGTGACAAATTTGTCCTGGGATGAGTGATGGCTTGGTGCTGCCCGTCAATTCGCTGCACTCCCCAGTAACCTCCGCTTGGTTGAAGGACAATGGGCCCATTCCGGTTTGCAGACTCCCTAACAATTCCTACCCCCCACCACTCCCCTTCCTCCACCACCTCCACCTCCCAGCAAAGCTTCCCAGAGCTAAAGCTCTCGTGGCTTAGGACACTGGCCATAAGTTCATATCTCAGAGGACTGGTGTTCACTTGCTGTTTCATGGCTTTCCATCTCACGCTTTTCAAATCTGGAGATACGTACAGCTGGGGGTGAGCTGTGCTTGGATCCAGAGTCAGGTTTGCTGTTTGAAAGGGGAAAAAAACAGTTTTGGGAAGAAGGAATTACCATCTTTTGTGTGCCATCTAATTTTTCTTATGTCATGCCCAGGAGTAAGGCTTTCTGCCCCCAAAACCTTGGAAGAACTGGAAATAATAAGATAAAGCTGGCTGGATACAATAGCAATTGCATCAAGGAATTGCTGTATGTATATTTTTCAGGATAGCTTTTGTTCAATTATATACAGTAAGCCTTCTGTTTTACAGACACCCTGTCATCTGTCTCTGGATGCAATAGAAAAAAACTAGACTTCATATTTTATAGAAACGTTACCTGGGTGATGCAAAATTAGTAAGTTAAAATAAATTACAAAATCACTCTGCATAGTTAGGCTACACAGTTTGCATAATGTACATAATATTTGCCTATATTGTGCACAAAATTGCTCTTGTTAAAATTTCTGATCTAACAGAAGTTTGGCTTTAACAGATATCCTTTTCCTTCCGTTTCTCTGTAAAAGTGATTAAAACTTTGGTTTTGTCCCTACGTTTCCTTCCTCTAATTCTCTCTTGTTCAAATTAATGATTGCTAGTTTTGGCACGTTGAGCTCCATGCCATGTAAGCTTGTCTTTTCACATGCTCTCTTCATTGCCTCCACAGGTAGTTCTCAAGTTACAATCATTTGTTTAGTGACGGCACAGAAAATCCAGAAAATACAGAAAATCCTGAAAATGGAGATAAAAATGAAACCAGAACTTTTCCTCTTGGGTCTAGCGGAAAAAGAACTGGAGAAAAAAAAGGGAATTTTGTTACTATATATGTTGATGGCAGCAAGACTATTGAAATACATAAAAATGGAAGGACACTTCGATTCCTACTATGGAAGAACAGTTGCAGAGGTTGATGGAGTTGGCTGAAATGGCAAAACTCACTACCTCGATTAAAAAAAAGAACATAAGTACTTTTGTTTCCACATGGAAACCGCTTCTGAACTTTGTGCTTGAGGTGGAGAAGAATGAAACTTCCATTCTGGGTTTTACAGATTAGATTGATAGATCTTTATATAAATGATGTGTTTCAGTGGTGGTATTCAGCCGGTTCGCAACGGATCGGATGAACCGGTAGCAAGAATTTGGTGTGGGTCGCCGAACTGGTAGTAAGTTCTGGCTGGCCACGCCCCCCACCCGATCGCCCTCCTGCCCGATGCTCGCTCACCTCGCCCGCCTGCCTGACATTCGCCTAAGGTATGTATTTCTTTTTTTCCCCTCCCGATAATCAGCTGTAGATAAGATCAGCTGTACTGGGATTCCCCTTGCTGAGGCCCAGGAAGGCAAAAAATGGAGGGAGGAACTCAGCCTCCTCCATTTTTTGCCTTCCAGAGCCCCAGAGGAGCCTTAGGGGAGCAAAAACGCCTCCCCACCAGAGGCTCCTCTGTGGCTAAGAAGTCCCCCAAAATGGGTGGGGGCTGCAAAAAAAGCCATGCCCACCCAGTCATGTGGCCACGCCCATCAAGC